TTAACTTTTTATACTATTTTAATTATTTTATTATATTTTAATTTAATAATAAATAAAGTATTACTTTACTAAAAAAATTAAAATAAAATTATTTTTTTAAAAAAAATATTTTAAATATTATTATTATCAATTTATAATATTAAAACTTTAAATTATTCTAGATTTGATAAATATATATTTTAAATTTTATAATAATTAAATTAATAATTATAAAGATATTAAAATTCAAAGTTAAATAATTAAATTATTTATTATATAATTTTTATATTAAATTTAATCAAATCTTATATAATGAAATTTAAGAACTAATAATTAAAAAAAGTTATTAGTAGAATTTTTTATAAAAGATATATAATAAAAATTTTTATATTTAAATAAATCTTAATATCTAATAACTTAATTAAATAAGATAGAATTAAAATTTTATTTTAAAAAAATAATTATTTAAAATATAAATCTTTTTATACTAATCTATATAATATATTAAAATAAAAATATTTATTAATAATAAAATTATATATATAATAAAATATATATATTTTATTAATTATAATTAATAAAAATTCAAGTATTATATTTTATTTAATTATTATATATTTTTTTAAAATTAAGAATTTTATATAAAATTTATAATTTTAAATATAATTAAATCTTTTTATAATTATATTTTTTTATAATTATTATTTTTTATTTATATCTTTTTATTATTATTTATATTATTTAATTTTGCTTTTTTAAATATAAATATTATAGAAAGATTTAATTATATTTATAAATAATTTTTAATATTATAAAAAATATTATAAAAAATGTTTTAAAAAATAAATATTTAAATAATAAATTTAATAAAAAAAATAAATATTTTTATATTTAATATTAATTTAATCTATAATAAAATATTTTATAATAGTAACAAATATTTAAACTAATTTTATTCATAAAAATAATATTATTATATAAAAATTAATTTTTTTATAGTAATATATAAATTATTCTAAAAATATTTTTATATAAATAAATAAATATATAAAGTATTATTTAAAAAATTACTAGTTTTAAATTAAAAAAATTAATATCTAAAATAATTTATATATTATAATTATATTTTAATATAGTTACAAAGTTAAAAGATAAAATTAAATTTGAGTAAGATAATTTTTATATTTATTATAAGAGTTATTATATTAAAATATAACTATATTTAAAAACTTTATATAAAATAATTAAAAAATATGACTTTTAATTCAAAAATTTTGTTAAATTATTTTTTAATTACAAAATTATATTTGTTATTTTATAATTTATAAAAATATATTTGAAATTTATTGGCTTGAATTATTAACTTATATATTGTGTTTATATATGATTTTTAAAATAAAAAAATTATCTTTTTTTATAAAATTTAAAAAATTTATTTTTTTTATATTTTATGTAAATTCATAATTATATTATTATTTTTTTTCTATTATATAATACAGATTCAAATCAATTTATATTTACTTTTTTTTAAATTTCAAATGTGATGCCAGAACAGATTGTGCAAGATAATTTAAAGATAACTTCTTAATCAATCCATTAGTCGAATAATAAACGAGTTTGTTAATTAATATATTGCTATTTACAAGAGTTAAAGAAATAGTTCGATATTTACAAAAGAAAATGAAATAAAGGCAGAAAATAGATATAAAGTCAAGTCAAAAGAAATAATTACAGATTCAGTTTGTGATGATAATAATATTGAATCACTTGTGCTAGCAGTTCCCTTAAGAAAATAGTCATGAAAGTATAAACTACATAGTTTAAATAAATAGAAAAATTTTTGAGTGTCATAAAGATACTTCTGTAAATTTGTGCATTAGAACTTATAAATATGAACTCGCGTTAACATCTTTAAAAATATTAATTTTTTTTAATTTCTTACTTATATGATATTGTCATCGTTGAAATAAAAGGTCTGTATTATAAAATCAACTTTGATAAATAATTACATCGAAAAAATATTTAGCACTGTTGCAACAACACTTTATGTTAAATGATTAAAACACATGCAACACATTATTGAAAAGGTTAATAGCACTGAAAAAGAAAGACAATAGAAAATTAAAACTTTTAAAAATCTAGTTGACTAAAGAAAAATGCATTTAACATTCAAACTTTTGTTTATCGTTATTGGCGTTGTTGCTGAACTAGGTGACTCAAATTTTCCTTTCCCAAAGTTGAATCTGTTTTCAATTCTTATACCGAATTTCAAAAAACTATATCCGACTCCAAGAGCAATCTTACAAATATCACATCTCTTTCTCTTTCCGCGACTTTACTGACTATGCCACTACCTGTTTCGACTGTGATGGGCAAGTGTATTACCAAAAGGAATTTCCGGATCACATGATACATTTTTTTGGTGTAGAATACTAAATTTGGGAATTCTGTTAGAGTTTATCAATCCTGTTGTGGATTATTTGGTTGTCCTTTTAAATAGAATAGTTATATAACGTATAAGCTATACTGCTAATATAAACTTTGAGGTGTAATTTGTATCGTATTACTGTAGAGTGATTATAATATCCCATCTGTAAAATTTTGTCACTTAGTAAAACCCCAAAGCTATTGTCTTATTAACATAAATTTTGAAGAGCATTGCCGAAAATTCTACATAACTTTAGCTCGATTCGGAGAGACTCGAACTTGTGATTTAACTGATTTATTGATTTGGTTAGTTGATTGAACCTCTTGCTCTATCTAAACAAAAATCAAAATGTACATATTTGATACTTTGGTCAATACACAGCAAGCAAACAACAAACAAACAGCAAAAATTTTCTTTTGTGGAGTTGTCGAGTTGCCGGATAGAAAATATAGGAAGGTGACAACTCGAAGTAATAGTGAATTAAATCACACATATTATATGAATAAAATGTGATTTAATTATTCAATTTAATCCATTGGTGATAATAAGTTTTTACAAACATGACAAATAATAATAACATTTTTTCCTTTTCGTTCAATTAGACTATACATACATAAAAGACTTGCGTACTGATACATGTACATATACATGTGCTCTTGTGTTTAAAATATACATTATTATCATATGAATCTATTCTATGATTAGGGTATTCTTTGGCGAAAAAATGATTATGCAACAACGAGGGAAAACCTCGCATGTACGTGCTACTACGAATTTAAGCATATTCTTTTCTCTAATATAATCCTTTTTCTTCGTTAATGTGTTTGCTCGATTATTTCAATTTAAGAATAACAGCTATAATATACACGATATATAAGTATGCACGAATTAATTATACAGATACATTACATATTATGTATGTACTTTTCTCGCGTGAGTAATCCATGTATGTATGCTTTATGCACGTTCGATGTATGTATATGTTTCAAAACGTAATAAACGTAGTTTACACCATAATACATTTACTAACAAAAAACTTCAATCATTGTTTCTTGATAATAAAAAACCAGCACAATCATGTATTACCATCAACTTATAATTTGGTAATTCTTTAACGCTCGATCTATTGTTCAAATGCCCATTATCACCGCAAAAACTAAAAAAACGAAATCTTTCGCTCACTCGTCGAACTATTTTCTTTTATCACTAATAGGACTCGTACAAAAAAAGGAGAATGAAAAAAACGAATAAACGGGCGTAACCAGCACAAAAACACACATACATTCGCAAATTAGGAAAAAATAATTAAAATCATACCTGAATTATACAACTCTTTGTTTCTTCCTCATTATTTCTCACACTAACCGATTCTTACTTCTTTTGTTTCAATAATCCTCAATGTCAACACACAGGAAAAATCCACATCATCTTCATCTCCGGCATCATTATCATTATTAAAAAAAAGGGTGATATTAAATAAATAAATAAATAAATAAATAGAAAGATAGGCACTGTGCGCAGACGTGAAAAAAAAATAAAGAATAATGCTCAAAGAAAATTGGCGTAAAGTAAATCTATCTGCTCTGAGTTAATTTAATTTTATTTATTTGACTAATACTAATATATTTGTGATAATAAACAAAGAATAACCGAGAGCTGACTCGGAATAATCGATTCTTTTAATAATTAAAATTAATTAATTTGTTTATTGATAATCTATTTATAACCTAGATATGTGATGTGTGAGAAAATATTTAAAATACAATGAATAACAAAATTTAGATTGACAAAGTTTTTATCCACTTTGCGACTTTACTGCCCATTTTTTCGCTATGTCCTAAAAAATAAAAATCATTAAAATATATTCAATTCACAAAATCATGAAATTCTAACATACCTATAACAAAAGCATGCGGCATTCCATCTTCACAAAGAAAAACATTTCCTTCTGGAAACCGCTTCAGCAAATCGCGATAATGATCCAATGGTACCCACATATCCGACTTCCCGAAATAAAAGACATATTTCGGTAAATGCTCACGATAGAATTGCTCATCGAGTTCTTGGACTTCTTGCATCTCGGTCTCGGCCATATACAGGGCATTTTTGACAATATTTCCGTAGAGAAGTTTGTCGGCCGTCACAGAGAGGGCAGGTTCTGATTGCCAGGTTATGAAGCCGATTAGGTATTTGAAGTTTTCAGGAGTGAAGAGGGAGCGAAAGAGTTGGACGAATGGACCGGCGAGGTTTCGGGATCGTTCGTAGAAGAGGAACTGAGAGTTTTATTTTAGGGTGAGTTTATTTTATTTTTTACTTTTTATAATTAAAAAAAAAAAATAGTTTATTTACTTGAAGCATTCTCCCATTTGGTGTTTGAGAAATTTTTTGAATAGTCGGAAACAATGCATAAACTTTCTCAATTCCATGACTCGAACGTGCTCTCAAAACCTACAAAGAAATCCAAATTACTGAATCCACCATTTTTACAATTTATTTGGCTTCGCATTTTACCTCTGAACAAATATATGCTCCAATAGAATGTCCACACAAGATAAACTTTCTAGTTGAAAACATTTCGCGTAATTTGTCGAAACATTTGATCTTATGTTCTATTTGATCCTGAAGCGTGTAAAATTTCGGGTCGATGTTGCTGTTTAGGAGAGTGTGCGAATGACCAAGGTGAGAAACTATATATAAGTAATATCAAAAAAGTTAATTTCCCTAATACAGTCAATTTTCAAAACTGAAATACAGAAATTATACCAATGACATATAATAAACTTACCACCAACAATCACAATATCTCCACGTCGAAACTCATCATAAATCGTGGTCAAAAACGGGATGTAGTAATCGATGAGTCCCGGATTTCCACAAATCATAAAGAACACTATTTTCTCATGATGGTTATTATCAATGTCTTCTTTATTAGAATCACCATGCCACCAAAGAGTATCGGTCAATTCGCCTTCAATATTCCATATCTTTCGTTCTGGTAGTTCTTCGGTGTTTATTGTCGTTGTGTCTTCCTTATTACTGATATGAATTTTATCATCAGTATTATTATTATTCTTGAATTTTTCTTGCACCATTTTTTTTTGTAAACAAAAAGAATTGGAAAAAAATAAAAATGAGATTAAAGAACTCGAAAATTTCTTTGGTGTTGTATGAAGTGAGCGATGGATTTCAGGTGATGATAGTGGACAAACTGGTGGTTTCACATGCTTTGATGCACACACGTGCATATACACGAGTTATAAATTCGTTGGGGACTTAACTTTGTTTTTTAAAATCTCGAAACATTTGCAATATGATCAATCGAGGCCCAGCATCTTTTTATTTTTTAATACAATTTCATTATTGTTATTAAAGAGTGCTCGGCGTGCAAGCTTGTTTACTTTCGGAAAGGGAAATGGGTCAAGAATTAGGAATTAGACGAACTGATAAGTTAGAATATCTTTTGTCGTATTGAAAAGTTTTAGTTTGGACGAATTAGTAGAGTATGATATATAAGCTACGGATTGTAAAGGCACAATTATTAATTACAAAGTTTAGTGGTCAACGTCGCTGGTGATATTGAGCGATATATTAGGAAACATCTGGGAGATCCGGAATTCCACTCCTCTCACATAAGCCATTCGAATATTTATCCCATTTTACCTGTCGTAGTCGTGTATTTGATTACTACTATTGATAGAAGCACTGCACGTTCGCTCTTATGATCAAATAGAAAAATGAATTTTGTTGTATGGTGCTGAATTTTCTGAACGACGATCCTTTCATATATATAATGTAAATTTATTCAACCAATAAGAATGCTGAAATTGAAAATTTAACTACTTATCAAAGAACTATTTGATTGGATGACTTTAGACCATATTTTATTCTGTTTTACAACCAAACACTTCTAAATGCATATTTTTAACTAACTACTTATAACTGGTTAGTCTCTAAATGCATATTATGCATACTATACAGTGATCCCATAGTATGTATGTATTTAGAGGAGTTTGTACATACTAGTTTTTGATAAAATTTGATTCCCATACTTTTGAAAAAAATGAGAGATTTCTATCAGAGTAGAAGATTTCTTCTTAATAATGGAGGTGACGATGGAATAACTTTTGTTCGATTGTATGAAATTTCGAAAGGTTCAGGATCTGAAACCTATTGTCTCGCAAAAGAAACGAAAAAGCGAAAAATTTTATGAAAAAAATTCTAGTACATCTAACATCGATTAAATGTATCTGGTTCCTATATCATTTTAAAGCCAATCACCGAATATTTCTAATTAGTGAAATTTTAAACTTCAAACAGTTTTGTTATCAGGAAGGATTGAAAGGGATTGACCTAATAAAAACTGTGCTTCTCGATGAGAACTATCTATATCTAATTTTCAGCTAAATTGGTACCAAATTCGTTTGGCCATTAGATCTCGAAATACCAAATTAATGCTAATAAATAAATAGTTGCTAGCATTAATTTGGTATTTCGGGACCCTAGAACTAAACGAACCAATTTAGCTGAAAATTGGTATATAGGTAGTTCTCATCGAGAAGCACAGTTTTTTATTAGGTCAATTCCTTTCAATCCTTCCTGATAACAAAACTTTTGAAGTTTAAAATTTCACTACTTAAAAATATTCATGTGACAAGGTTATTGGCTTTAAAATGAGTATAGGAACCAGATACATTTACTCGATGTTAGATGCACTAGAATTTTTTTCCATAAAATTTTTCGCTTTTCGTTTCTTTTGTGAGTCACTGTAGCGAATCTATAAATTAAGAATAATATTTGGAATTGAATCGAGAAATCTTGTTCTTTTCTTCGTTATAACTTTGCAACTTCTTCTGATTCTTACTTCCGCTGCTCCTGAATTTGTAGCGTTTATCATGATAACTGTTTTCCGAGGTAAATGTCTGATATCATTTCGTATTAAAATATAATTATAACTTTCAGCTGTTGAAGAAACTCATAGTGAAGTTTTCCTAGTTGTTAACAACTATAATAAAAGCATATCTTTATATTTATAATCATCCAATTTTGCTTTTCCAAGTGCAGTGACTATAGGAAGGTTTGACTTATAGTAATATGAACAATGAACAGTTTGAGTAATTCATGAAAAGCATGACAGATTTAATAGTAGCTGCTAAAGATGAAAGTTTTGCTATTCCAATTTCTCAACTTTATCTTTTAGTTAAGTTATCATCTTATAAAGAAGAGTTTATAAAAATATATTTGTATTATTATTATTCTTGAATAGAATAAATAAAAGATAAATCAAATATAATATTTCATTAATAAGAAATATTATAAGAATGATAATAGTAATTATATTTATTTGAAAAGATTAAATACTAGATATTATTTGAAAAAAAAATATAAAAAATTCTATATGGACAAATAATAATAGAATAATAACAAAATTTATGAATTCTTTAGTTAAAAATTATAATATATAAATTATTATTCTGATTTTTTATAATTTTTAATTAATATTAACAAAATATATAATAAGTAAATTATAATTTTTGCTAGTTAAGTAATTGAAATTATAAAATATAAATAATATTATAAGAAAATAACTCTTATTTTATTTACTAAAAATTATTTTTCTATCTAATAATTTTTATATAATAAATATCTTATACTAATTTATATTTAATTATATAATTTAATTAGTAAAATATATTAAATAAATTAATAAAATACTAAATATTATATTCATTTAATTAGTAAAATGTTATTTAAATTAAGATTATTATATATATAATTTAAAACTAATAAATAATTAAAAAAATAAAAAATATATATAAAATAAAAATATAAATAATAAAAGAATAATTAATATTATATTAAATATAATAAAATAAAAAGAGTTAAATAAATAATTAATTATAATTTAAAATAATTTTAATAAGAAATTAAATAAAAAAAAAAATCTAAAAAATATTAAGAATTTAAAAATTATAAAATATAATATAATAAAATAATATAATTTAAAATTATAAAATAAAGATTAGAATATAATTAATTCTTAATTATAAATTTAATTTTATAAATTATAATAATTATTGTAACAGATTAAAATGAAATCAGATTAAAATGAAATTTTCTCTATTTTAATATAAAAATTTCATATTTTTTTGAGGGTAATTTTCTAGATTTTTTTTGAAATTTGGATTAGGATTTAGGGTAACTTTTGTTAATAGAAAAGTATATATGGATTTTAGAGATATTAAAAGAGGATTCAAAAAGACCTCAATTTCATTTTAATCTGATTTCATTTTAATCTGTCACAATTATTTTATAAAAAAAATAATTAATTAATATTTATAAAAGTTTTTTTATAAAATAATATTTTAAAAAAAAATAAAAATAAATTAATTAAAAAAAATTATTATATATAATAAATCTTTTTATAATATTTTTTTCAGAATTAATACTTGAATAATCTTGAATATTTTAAATAAAAATTTATTATTAATTTAATTATATAAATTTTAAATAAATATATTTGAATTAATTTAAGTATTAATTTAATTTTTTTATAATAAAAACTAATTAATTTATAATATAATAAATAATATTCAAATTATTTTAATATAATATAGTAAATTATTAATAAATTTTAAAAATTCATAATATAATAAATTTTTTTAAAATGTTAAAAAAAGAATTAGTATATAATTAATAAGTTTAATTATTTTATAAAAAAATAAATTAAATTTACTTATTTAAAAATTATTCAAGTTAAATAAATAAGTTAATAAAATTTATTCTTATTTTTTATATATAAATAAATATTTTTATAATTATTATATATGAGAAAATAAAATTAAATAATTATAGAAATATAACTAATTTTTTTTAATTTAAATTTTATTTAATAATAAAATATTAATTGTAAAAATTTTATATAAAGAATAATAAAATTAATTTAATTATTATAAAAATATATAATAAAATACAATAATAAAAATTAATAAAATAAAATTTAATATTTATAAAAATATAAAATTAATATATAAATTTACAAATTACAAAAATAAAATTTAATTTTTAAAAATTTTAACTATTTTATATAAGTTTATTATAAAATTTTAAATTATAAATTTAATATAATTAGATAATATTTATTTAATATAAAATATTATTTATTTATTTATATTAATATTTTATAATTATTTATATTAATATATTAAATTTAATTATAATTTTTATTAGATATTTTTTATTTTTTATTGATTTTAAATTTTTATTTTATATAATAATTAAAATTTTAATTTATATTTTATTTTATAAATAAATCTTTATATTTTATTAATTTTTATTTTTAAATTTTAATATAATTAAATTAAATAAATTAAAAAAATTAATAAAAATAAAAAATTTATTATATATTATTAATTTAAATATATAATATATAATAAATATATTTAAAAATATAATACAGTTCCTGATAAAAGTAGTAATATATAATATTTTTATCTATATTTTAATAATAAAGTATCCAAAACTCATGAAAGTTTGTAGATATATTCTTTAAGATATTACGAATAAGATTCTTTAATAGCATAAGACATATTAGCTTAATAAAATTTTGCGAAATTTTGTATCAAATATATTGAATTAGGTATTTATACAAAATAACTTTGAAAAAAAAATTATTTAAAAATATTTTTAATAAGCAATTTTAAAAAATATTTTTGTA